TTGCACGCGGCCGACCCGGGTTTGATTCCCAGCATCCCATGTGGTCCCCTGAGCACCACCAGGAGTGATTGCTGAGTGAAGAGCCAGGAGTTACCCCTGTGCATCTCTGGGTGTGACCCAAAAGGCAATAAAAATTTTTAAAAAAGTAAATACTAGTAAAAATAAAAATAAATAATAAATTAAAAAATCTCTGCCCCCAACCCCATACCAGGAGGTTGGCTATGCTCTGCCCACGGTGATTTTGCTTTTTTGGTTTTGTTTTGTTTTGTTTTTGCTTTGGGGCCACACCTGGTAGTACTCAGGGATTCCTCCTGGCTTCTGCACTCAGCTATGATTCCTGGAGGGGCTTAGGGGACCTTACACAGTACTTGGGGTTGGACCCAGGCGGCTGCCTATAGGAAGCAAGCGCCTTCCTCGCTGTTCTATCTCTTGGCCCCTGCAGTGCCTTTACTACTACAGAAGTGAATTTGTCTTACCTCACATCCCTGCTGTTCAATCTGTCTAGAAACACCCCACCACACACACACCCTGTCTGCTAACTGGCACTGCCTTGCCTCACACTGGCCTGTGCTCTGCTGGGACCTGACAGGGTTGTTGATTCCCCTGCCCCATCTCTGCTCCTCCTAGGACCTTTTATCTCTACCATAGACGCTAACACTTGTGTTAGTGTCAGGGATCTCCTTAGAAAATGGAAACTCTGGAGAGATACTACAGTGGGGAGGACGCTTGCCTTGCATGCAGCCCCAGCACCACTACCCTGAGCCCCACCAAGAGTGATCTCTGAGAAGAGGACTGCAAGTTAGTCCTGAACATCACCTGGTGTGGCCCTCAAAACTCAAATATATAAAAATAAATTTTTTCGGGGCTGGAGTGATAGCACAGAGGGTAGGGCATTTACCTTGCACGCGGCCGACTTGGGTTTGATTCTTAGCATCTCATATGATTTCCCAAGAACCACCAGGAGTAATTCCTGAGTGCAGAGCCAGGAGTAATCCCTGAGCATCACCGGGTATGACTCAAAAAGAAAAAAATTATAATATGTTATATTAATACTAGGCTGGAGTAATATATTGCACAACGGGTAAGGCATTTGCCTTGCATGCGGCCGACCCGGGTTAAATTCTTCCGTCCCTCTCAGAGAGCCTGGCAAGCTACTGAGAGTATTCCGCCCACATGGCAGAGCCTGGCAAGCTCCCTGTGAATGCCAAAAACAGTAACAAGTCTCACAATGGAGATGTTGCTGGAGCCCGCTGGAGCAAATAGATGAACTATGGGAGAACAGTGCTACAGTATTACAGTGCACATTAATACTAGATTATTTGAGGAGTTTTGAGGCCACACCTGTCAGTGCCCAAGGCTTACTCATGGGTCTGTGCTCAGGGGTCACTCCTGGCGGTGCTCAGGGGTCTACATTTGGTACTGAAGATCAAATCGGGTTGACTGCATGCAAGACAAGCACCTTAATGCCTATACTATCTCTCCTACCCTATAATATAGTACTGTATTACAACCAAGCAAGGGGCCTGAGCAATATTACAGCAGGATTTGCCTTGCACACGGCCAAGTGGAGTTCAATCCCCAACATCCCATACGGTCCCTGAAGCACTGCAAGGAGTACTTCCTGAGTGCAGAGCCAGGGTAACCCCTGAGCATTGCTGGGTGTGACCCAAAAGCAAATAAATAAGTAAATAAATAAACACCAAGCAAATTATTGTTTATCAATATCTATTTAAACATTATATTTGTAAAAGGTCTTAATATTATCAGAAAATATTAGTTTATGAGGGAGTTTTCTCTTTATACCTTCATAAAAACAGAAAGCAACATTTTTAGTTCTGGTTTATAAGCATATGTACTAATTCTCCAATAAAACTGGAGTTATGTGGCTAGAGAGATGACTCAATGTGCATGTTTTGTGGGCAGGAAGCCCAGGTTTGAGCCCTAGCACTGTATGGTCCCCTGAGTATCACCAGGAGCAATCTCTGAACACAGAGCTGAGAATCATTCCTGAGTATCGCAGGGGTGGCCATAAAACAAAACAAACAAACAAAAAAAATTCCAGATTCTTCAAAGGAGCTCAATGTTTAGCATTGAAATAGCCACAAAGCACAGATTAATTCAGGTGGAGATCTGGCTAGTGGTTAGAAAAAGTTTCCTGGATTCTCATTTTTTCAAGTTTCTGGAACATTCTCAGGAATTCAGTTATAGACTTTGAAAGTCCTTCTTGCCTGCTCCCCTTGGATGTCCACCATGTGGCCATCGCATAGGACACAGTGAGAAGGGACCCCATTCCCAGTGGGCTCACATCCTTTACTCCTGTACCTCTGGACTGGCTGGTAATTGAGAGCCCAAGTCAGGAGTCGAACTGCTGGGTCTAAAACATGTTCTTGGGGCTGGAGCAGTAGTAGTACAGCAGGTAGGGCGTTTGTCTTGCATGCGGCCAACCCGGGTTTGATTCCCAGCATCCCATATGGTCCCCCAAGCACCGCCAGGAGTAATTCCTGAGTGCATAAACCAAGAGTAGCCCCTGAGCATCACCAGGTGTGACCCAAAAAGAAAAAAAAAAGAACAAAAAAAAAAAAAAACATGTTCTGGGCCAGAGGGAGAGCACAGCGGCTAGGGTTGCCTTGCATATGGCGAACCTGAGTACAATTCCTGACATCCCATATCGTTCCTCAAAAACCACCAGGTGTAATTTCTGGGTTCAGAGTAACTCTGAACTAAGAGTAACTCCTGAGCATCCCGGGTATGCCCCCCCTACCAAAAAAAATGAAAATAAATAAAACTCATGTTCTGGGCTGGGAGATCACCCAGCAAGTAAGTCACTTACCTCCCCAAGCCACAGAGAACCTGTGTGCAAAGTGGGCATGACAGTGAGTGCCTCAAGGCCAGGGGTCTCTGTCACACTACCTGAGTTTATGCCTATGAGTCCAAGTTCATCACCTGCTTCCGGCACATACTAGGGCCCCACGGGTGTAATTGTTCCTCTACCCAGAGTGCCAGAGTGCCAAGCTGGCAGCCCAGGGAGATAGAACAGGAGTTAAGGTACTTGCCTTGCATGCAGCTGACCCCACTTCAATCCATGTCACTGCACGGGTTCCATCAGCATTGCCAGGAATGATCCCTGAGCATAGAGCCAGGAATAAACACTGGGTGTGACTTCAAACCAAACCAAACATGTTTTTATTTATTTATTTATTTTAAAAATTTTTAATAGTGAGACATCATGAGGTACAGTTGCAGACTTACACAATTTTGTGCTTGGGTTTCAATTATACAATGATCAAATATCCATCCCTCCACCAGTGCCCATTTCCCACCACCACGGATGCAAACATGTTTTTAAATGAATATTCTATGTGAGACTGAACCTTATATATATATAGCTCGATCTGTTTTCTCACCTGTAAAAAGGAACTAGATCAGGGGTTGGAGCGATAGCACAGCGGGTAGGGCGTTTGCCTTGCATGGGGCTGACCCGGGTTTGATTCCCAGCAGCCCATATGGTCCCCCGAGTATTGCAAGGAGTAATTCCTGAGTACAGAACTAGGAGTAACCCCTGTGCACAGCCGGGTGTGACAAAAAGGAAAAAAAAAGGGACCAGATCATCATGAAGTACAGCAAGGCTTATCTTTGGCAGTTCTTTATTCAATAATCATAGTGGCTGGCTAGGATAAAGCTGGATACAAGAGGGCAGGATGGTGGAAATGAAAACTCAGCAGTTTTGTTCCTGACAGCAGCTTGGAGCCACAAAAAAAAAAAAAAAAGGCAAAGAAAGCTGCCAGTGCTGGTACACACTTCCTTGCTTCGTTCGACATAGATCTCTTCAGACTCCCTTGGCAGCCTCCTTTTTTCCTAACATCCTGACTGAAGCCTGCATTCAAGGACAAGATTCTGTGTCCTGGGCCAGAACAACCATACAGCAGGTAGGGTGTTTGCCTTGCACGTGGCTGTTCCAATCCTCCACACCCCATATACTCACCTGAACCTCGCCAGGAATGATTCCTGAGTGCAGAGCCAGGAGTAATTCCAGAGCCAGGAGCATCACTGGGTGTGGCCAGAAAAAATAAAAACAAATAAATAAAGCACACCAATGTGCCACAGCATCTACTCCTGAGGGCCTACTGGCAAGTGTGTCTTCCCTACCCAGTATCATAGCACGAGATACTGTTTCTCTCTGGGTTCTTCGCACACAGTCATGAACCACTGGCCTAAATCATAGTAAAATTTGCTCAAAGATCTTGTTTCTAGGCCCAACTCTGCCACTGACTTCTGAGACACTGCAAGAGCTTGGCCAACGCATTGAATTCTTGAGCATCTGTGAGCCCTTGTGGGCATGGGGTGATGGGCCCGGGACTCTTCCTCGCTGGCAAGGCTCAAAGCAGAGAAAGTTGGAGGTAGACATCTGCATGGTGCTGCCCTGCCAGCTGCACAGTGGCAGAGTTGGTCTGCCCTCTGCGGGCTCACCCCGTTCCACATGCCCTCGGCCCATTACCTGCTGCAGGAGGGATGGCCTTCCTTTCTGCCCACTTGTCTCACCGATTTCAGATAACCTCAGGAAGCTCTTCCATAATCTGGACTCACATCCATCCTGCTGAGCTCTGGCCCCACCCTTCCTTGTGTATCCTGGAGCCTAATCCTGCCCCAGTTTATTCGTCCCGTCCCGGGCCAGGCCACAGATCCTGACAGAGGCCTGTTCTCACTGCTAAGAGAGGCAGAGTGGATAAGGCAGCAGGAGAGAGTCAGGAGGATGAAGAAAGGGGCAACCTCCCCACCCCCACACAGATGGACAAAAACACCCCTCAGCACCCCAGCACGCCAGCACCTTTGTCTGTGGGCTTCCGGGGGCGGGCCCAGCCTCTGAGACCTTTCCATGACGTGAGCCTCTGCCAAGGCTGGGGCTGTGGTGGTGAGGTGACACTTCCTGCCAGGGCTGAGGAGAGTTGCTGAGTGAGGCTCTCTTCTTTCTTCACAAATCCTCACACAACTTCAGGTGGCCCATGGACCTTCCCTTGGCCCAGAGAGGCCCGCCAGGTAAGCATGGTCTGAAGAAGCCAGTGGGTGTTGGTGGCAGGGGGAGGGGGGAGAGAGAGGGGGGACAGGCAAATCAAATCGAGACCCCACTCACCCCCTTTCTCTCTCTGCCCAAGCTCCTCTCCAGAAGTAAAGGCACCCTCCAAAGCAGGCTGTCTGGTTGGGTGCCTATGTTCCCCACCCTCCCAAGGGTTCCAGGTCCCCTCAGTATGGAACTAAGGTGACAGGCTGTACTGAATGACTGTTGGGGATACAGGAGTGAAGGCATTGGAGCTTGTGGGCCAAAAGAAGGCCTTTGCCTCCCATCTGGGACTCTGGGCCTTCAGGCCGCTGACCAGTTCCCAGTAAGGCCCTGTGTGCCCTCCTGAGTGCCTGACTCCTCCTCCCAGAGCCCCTCGCTCTGTCCTTCCCACAATTCTTACAGGTCAGGCCTGCCCCTGGCCACCCCAATCAGAGACCCGTGAGGTTCCCTCTGAGCCTGGGAGAGAGACATTCCTCACTGAGAACCCTGCACCCCATCATCACAGGTAGTTACAGAGGTCCTGTCCCGACCTTCAGCACCTTCCTGCCCTTGGTGGACTCGACCCAAAGGCGCTGCCAGGGCGAGAGCTCACTTGGGCCCAGAGCTCAGGCCAAGAAGGCAGAAGAGAGCCCGTTCAGCCCCCGGGCACCTGCTGTCCCTGACGTGGTGAGTGTCAACCAGGGTTTGAGGGCCCTCCTGAACTCCACCCCCCCATGAGGACACAGGTTGATAGGGAGGGGGCAGGGCTAGTGTCCCCCTCATTGCCCACTTGTACTCCACCCTCCTGACAAGTTCACGCCAAGTCCCCGGTGATGGGGGACAGTGCCGTGAGGCGTAGAAGGAGCTGCTCCATCTCTATAAGTGCCTTCATATCTCGGTGCTCCTTGCCCACCCCCTGAAGACCAGCCTGCTTCATTTCAGCCTCCGAGGGACCTACTATAGCATCTCCTTCATCCCTCAAATCAGGTCATGCATGTCTCCATCTAGAAGGCCTCAGTGCTAAGCATAATTTTGTTTTGTCATTGTTTGGAGGTCACACCCAAAAGTGGCAGATGAAGGGCTGTGAGCCCCCACACAGGATCGTATCTGGGTTTTCTGCACGCAGAGAGGCAAAGCATGTGCTCCAGCCCTTTCAGCTAATTCTCTGGCCACTGAGCCGAATTTATTTATTTTTTATTTTTTTATTTATTTTTTTGCTTTTTGGGTCACACCCAGCAATGCACAGGGGTTACTCCTGGCTCTGCACTCAGGAATCACTCCTGGCGGTGCTCAGGGGACCCTATGGGATGTTGGGAATCGAATCCGGGTTGGCCGCGTGCAAGGCAAACGCCCTACCTGCTGTGCTATTGACTCAGCCGAATTTAATAACTCACAGTTACTAGGTTGAAGGCCCTAGGAACTAGAAGGAAGTGATACGGAAGCTCCTGAAACCAAAACAGCCATAGCTAAAGAAATGATTTAAGTTAGACCTTGGGAAGAAGTTACTGAGAACTGGGGCTGGAGTGATAGTACAGCGGGTTGGGTGTTGGTTTTGCATTCAACTGACCTAGGTTGAATCCCTGGCACACCATATGGTCCCCTGAGCCCCACTAGAAGTGATTCCAAGTATAGAGCCAGTAGGAATCCCTGTTACGGAGAATTACACCTTCAAAGAGACTACTAGGACAGGGACAGAGGGCTTCCTCCCAGGCTCAGGTAGCTGTGTGGAGTCCAGAGACTCACTTTAATGGATGCTTGAACTCTTCCTCTATGGAGACATCTCCACAGGCCCTGGTCGCTGCCTCCAACATAGGGGATGCCGGGCAGGCTGAGGAGGTACCTGGGGAAGGAGGCCTGTCCCTAAAGACTGAGACCCGAGCTTGGTTCTGGAAGACCCAGGCCCACTGGCTCCTGAAGCATGGAGAAGCCCCCCCCTGGTTCCATGGCTTCATCACGCGGAGGTGAGTCACAGGGGAAGAAGAGCGACCCAGAAAGGGCAAAGCAAGGCCCTGGGCAGAGCGGGTGAGTCCTGGGCTAAGCATACTGGCATCTTGCAGACCAAAGCGTCTTCACTCACACTTCTCTCCCATAGAGTGGCTTCACCCCAAATCCCTCTGTGCTGTGTCTCCCCTTTGAGCTCAGGTCTCCCCACTGAGTTCTCAGAGATTTCCCTTCTGTCCCTGTCTCTCCACCTATCTCTGGTTTTCTTCCTTCCTTCCTTCCTTCCTTCCTTCCTTCCTTCCTTCCTTCCTTCCTTCCTTCCTTCCTCCCTCCCTCCCCCTTCCCTTCCTCCCTCCTTCCTTCCTTCTTTCCTTCCTTCTTTCCTCTGTGTTTTCCCAGCTTCACTTGTGGGGCCTCCCAGCTCAGTGCTGAGCTCCTCTCTTAGTCTAGTTGGTCACCATCCCTGCTGTAGCAGCCCCAGACAACCCCAGACAAATGGCAGGAGGGGCGTGGAGGAGGCGAGGCAGCTCCTGTCTCTGCAGCCTCCCTCCTTCCTATGTCTACCCTTCTCTAGACCATTCTCCAGCTAGCTCGTTCCAGGTTGGGGTTCCCCCGGAGAACAGGGGACACAAAAGAGCGAGGATGGGACAATAAACACAGCACTGGTCTCCCCTCCGTTGCCCACAGGGAGGCTGAGAGACTGCTGGAGACTAAGCCCCAGGGATGCTACTTGGTGCGATTCAGCGAGAGTGCAGTGACCTTCGTGCTGACTTACAAGTGAGGGGTGGGGCTCAGCGTCCAGGGGCGGGGCTTCGGGCGACGTGGGCGGGACCAGAAGGGGCGGGGCTTGTGGTTATGCTAATTAAGGTGGGGTTTGATGTTGATGGAAAAGAGCTCAAGCCCACCCCAGGCAGGTGGGAGACCCCGTCGAGGAGCAGGGAGATGTGGTAGGGAGAGGGAGCGCGTCTGATGACAAACCGCGCCCTCCAGGAGCCGGACTTGCTGCCGCCACTTCCTGCTGGCCCAGCTGGGCGACGGGCGTCACGTGGTGCTGGGTGAGGACAGTGCCCACAAGCGCCTGCAGGATCTGCTGCTGCACTACACCACCTGCCCGCTCAGCCCCTACAGGGAGACGCTCACCCAGCCTCTCGCCCGCCAGGTACGCAGCCAGCCTGAGCCCTGACCCACCCCGGGCCTCAGGACCAAGGCCAGCTCCCCTTCCCACGGAACCTAGTACAGGATTTCCCTGTACCAAGCACTTTTTTTTTCTTCTTTTTTGGGTCACACCTGGTGATGCACAGGGGTTACTCCTGGCTCTGAACTCAGAAATTACTGCTGGCAGCGCTCGGGGGACCATGTGGGATGCTAGGAATCGAACCCTGGTCGGCCGGGTGCAAGGCAAACACCCTCCCTGCTATACTATCGCTCCAGCCCCACCAAGCACTTTCTGACTCCAAAACCGCATACCCAACCTTGCCTCCTTCGTCCATACTTCCCAATTCTTCAAGAAGCCCTTGGAGGCGGGGCAGGGATGTGGACCTTAAGACATCTCCAGGTCACACAGTGACAGGGGGTGAGGCTCCCTGGCAGAACCTAACAGGTACCAGGTGCTGTCACATCCCTAGGAATAGAAGCATAAATGGATCTTTGACTCACCAAGTTTATTCATCAGCAGCAAAAAGACAAATAGTAGAAATGAAGCCAGAGAACATGTGAGAGAAAATCAAGTAGGCTTCTGTTACAGAGGATACAGGCTAATGCCTGGGTCCTTGGAAGCTGTGTACAGAGGCCAGAGAGCTAGTACAAAAGTGCTTGCACAAAGTTTCCCTCCCCTGCATCCCATGTGGTCCCCTGAATACATCCAGTAGTGATCCTGGACAGAGAATCAGAAGTCCTGAACACCACTAGATGCGGTCCCAAAACAAAAGATACATACTAGTACACATACCATCAGATATCTTCAGTGTTACAACAGAGTAGTAGCTCTTTGTTTAACAGCCCCTGTAGGTATTTCTCTGTGGGCTGCAGCAGTCTAGAAATAAGGCATCTGTTACTCAAATGCTGCCTATGCAATACCTATCGATGTTCGTATATACATACAAACCTTAGCTGTTTCTTCTATCTGAATGGCTACTCTTCATATAAATGACACTTAAAATAACCAGTAGAACAGTTTTGATTATCATCCCTCTCCCCCTGACTTCCTCTATAACAGTTCCATTGAGTTCAGCCGGTGGAAATGGAGTCAGGAAGTGCTCCCCAAACATTCAGGCAGCTCTGCAGGAACACTGTCCACAGACCAGCCTTTATACCAAGGTGGTGCACCAGAAATTTTCAATCTTTCTACATTTGTCACCAATGGCTGAAGACTGGGGATTGGGAAGTTGATTCTGAGAGATGCCATGGCATGAGCTGAGGACCTGTCAAGTTTGGGAGGGGAAAGATGGAAGTTACCATAATGTTTCAGGTGACTGCAGCCTGGAGTAAGATGGTAGAGGTCTGGGGCTGGAGAGATAGCACAGCAGGTAGGGCGTTTGCCTTGTACACGGCCGACCCAGGTTCGATTCCCAGCATCCCGTATGGTCCCCTGAGCACCGCCAGAAGCAATTTCTGAGTGCATGAGACAGGAGTAACCCCTGTGCATCGCCAGGTGTGACCCAAAAAAGAAAAAAAAAAGATGGTAGAGGTGGAATATTGGGCCTGTTTTGAAGGTGGTTTGGGTAGGACCAAATGTGGAGTGAGAAAAGATGGAACTGCCACTTACTGAGATAAGATGAGAGCGTGCGAATCTGACCTTCAGTTCCCCGGGCACAGGCCAAGGGCTTATTCAATAGCCACAGGGAGAAGGCAGTAGGCCGCGGGACCCTGCTATTCTGCAGCTCAAGACTGTGTGAGCATGTGGACGAATTGATCCTCAACCTGTCAGAAGTGTGAAGGGTCACTCAGGATTGAGCACGCATGGAAAAGACAGAAATACATGTTCACTACTAGAGTTTGCCAAATGAGGGGGAACCTGCAAAGGAAACAAAGACACCAGAGAGGTAGCACAAGGGTTCAGGCATTTGCCTTGCACACAGCTGGCCTGGGTTCAGTTGCTGGCACCACATATGGCTCCCTCAAGCCCCACTCTGCCAGGAGTGATCTCTGAGCACAGAGCCAGGAGGAAGCCCTGAGTATCTCCAGGTGGGCCCCCCCCCAAAAAAAAAAAAAAAAGTAAATCCAGATCCAGCTGTCTCCAGCTGTCTGGGAGATCAATTCCTATGCCAACTATTTCTAGGATAAAGACTTCTAAGGCCTTGTTGCAATTTGCAACCATAGTCACAAACAGAGTGTCCCAGCTGTGCTCCTGATGAATCAAGTTTAATGCTAGATATGACCTAAGAGCAGCACTGCCTCCTCCTAACCCTCTCTCCTTGTCATCTCCAAGCCCCTCCTCGCCCAGGAAACCCTGCCAGAGCATGATTCTGTGTCTCCCTCCCAATCTCCACGTGGTCCTGATCATTTTGTTTGTCTGGATCACTCCACCCCACCCTCCATCCAGCCTGTCAGGCTGCCGCAGCCTTCAGGCCCCTTCTCTCCCAGCAGACTCTGGAGCCCACTGGACTTTCTTTAAGGACTGAACCTGACTCCAGAAGCAAAAGTCAGGACGCAGAGCCCCCATATAGTCCAATCCTCAAAAAGGAGCAGCCCGCAGCACCCACGCAGAAACAGGGAGCAGATGAGCCTAAGGAGGTATTGGGCTAGAGGGACTTGAAGGAGAGCATGAAGGATGGGAGTTGGGGCAAGGGGCGAAGTCTTGGGGAGGGGCCCACTGTGTGTGGGGGGGTCTTTGGTCAGGGCAGGTCAAGGGTGGGACTAGGGACAGAGTCTATAGTGAGGAGTGGGTCGAGGGGCAGAATCTGATTTGAGGGGTGGGCCCAGGGGTGAAGTCTGTTAGGAGTGGAGGGGTCCTTGGGTGGAGCCTCAGGCTAAGCCTTAGGGCTTCCCTGACCAATGGCCCTCCCTGCCTCTCTGCCCTCCCAGCCACCCAGGCCCAAGCCTCCCATCCCCACCAAGCCTCAGGTACCCCCGGAAGTCTACACCAGCCACGCTAAGAGACCCCACCGGGCTCCGCGCTGCAAGCCCTCCAACCCCATCTACCACGAGCCTGAAGACCCTATCGACTTCTATGCCATGGGCCGGGGGAGCCCGGGAGAAGCCCCTGGCAACATTTATTCTGAGGTGGAGATAGGGACACCTTCCAGGGGTGAAGACCAGACGACAGTCCACCAGCATCCAGCCCTACGGAAGTGCCGGTCCAGGCCTGTCTCTGGAGGCCAGGTAAACAGGGGTTCAGGGAGCACGAGGATACCCTGAAAGCTAGGCTGGACAGCTGAGAGACGGCTCAGCCTAGACACCAAGTCAGGGTGATATTCAGTTGAAATGAAAGACAGGAACAGGCCCCAGGCTCCTTCCAAGGGCCACTGGTTCTAACACACGCTGCCCCCAAGAAGGCCTTCCAGAATGTCTGCTTTATTTTGTGTGTGTGTGGGGGGGAGCGGTAACACCCAGACATGCGTAGGGGTTACTCTTGGCTCTGCACTCAGGAATCACTCCTGGTGGGCTCGGGGAACCATATGGGATTCTGGGGATCAAACCTGAGTTGGCCATGTGCAAGGCAAGTGCCCTACCTGCTATACTGTTGTTCCCCCGCCCACAGAATGTTTTTCTAAAGCCACTGTCTGACCCTTGAGGTCCTCCAGTCTTGGATCAGGGATCCCCACCTCCTCAGCTGTCCTTCCAGCTGTTCCCATCCTCCCAAACCAGTCACATTTCTCCAAGCACCCTGAGTGTGGCTCTGCCTCCAGCTTGTCTCCACTTCCTGCTCACACACCCTCCTGCTGCCCCATACTGCCCTTCTCTGGAAGGACCACCCAGCCCTGACCAGAAGCCGGCCCCTGTGCTAAAGACACACTGTCACGGTCCCCATCACCTGGGACATGGCCCCCCTGATTCCCGAGTCCCAACATAAAGGGAGTTACTGGGGGCGAGGGCTGGGATACCTCGGTTTCCAGAGCATCTGAGACAGCTGCCAGCACAGAGGTTTTAAGGAAATGTTGAGTGAATAATGAATGAATGAATGAATGAATTAGGCCATTGTTTGTTGATACCAGATGCTTTGACCTTGAGACTGCAGAGCAGGAACTGTGATTATGCACCTTCCTTCTCTCTGCAGAATCCAGGTGTCCAGCAACTGTGCTCTGAAAACTCTGTGGCTAGACCGGGGCCTCCACTGCCCCATCAGCGCCAGCCCCGCTGGGGATACACTCTACCCCAAAATCTTTCGAAATAGGTGCTTCAGGAGGTCAGACTTCTTTCCCCCTCAGGCCTTACCTGCAGTTGGTGAGTGAGCTGGGGAAGGAAAACCTGGAACATGAGGTCCAGAGACCTTCACACATACATACCTGTCGCCCTTCTCAAGAAATGTGGATATTCCACACGGCAGGGAATCAGCACTGAGAGGACCTCAGCCATCATCTATCGCAAGGACGGCAGAAAGATGTCACCTCGTATGCCAGCTCCCATCCATTGGTTGAGGCTACCCAGAGCGCTGCTCACGGAACGATATTAAGGTCATATCTAAACTCAGCAGAAAAGAGCTGGTGATTGATTATTGATGTCTGCCACGGGAGCAGGGGGGAGGAGGGGCAGCGTTCCACTTGCCCTTGTAGATCAAGTCCAGCTCCCTTGCTGAGCGAATAAGGCAACAAAACCAGAGGAGTCTAGTAACCGGCCAAGGTCAACGGCTCTTGATTGCCCTCCCTGTTCAGTGCTCTGTTCCTCCCACCACACCTGCTAATTCACCACAGGGGATGTCCGCAGTTTCCTCAGAGAGGAAATCTGGCTGCTTTCATGAGTTCTGCCATATTTGGGGTGGGGGCGCTTGTCTCCCTCCTCTGAATCCCCCTGACAGGTCTGGGCTCCATCCCAGAGAGGAACAGTTGTGGAATCTGTTTCTACCCTGTTTCTTTCCCCAAGTTCCCCAGTGGCTCTGTGCACTCAGTGGTCCTCTAAGGAACGGGCTAGGGGCGCCCTCCTGCCTTCCGTGGCCCTCCTCCTCCTCCTGGACTCTCATTTCCTCAGCCTCCTGAGCCTCTGTGCCTGGGCCCTGATCCAATGCTGCTGTTGTCTGAGGAATGGTTTGGCAAGAACAGATGTTAGACCTTGTTTGTTGACTCTCGTCTGGCTAATAAATCATCACCCCCATAGGGATCCGGGTTCTCCAGGCCTCTTCTGCTTGTGGCTCCATTTTTTCACTCTTGCTCTCCATGCTATGGAAGGCACCTAGTCAAACTACTCCTGTAGGGCAGGGGAAGGGGGATGGGGCAGGGGGATCACCTGGGCAAGGGTCACAGATCTGTTGGTTGGAGCCAGGATGACACCAAGGCAAGGAACACAGACCTCAGTCTGCAAAGGACCCCTTCCCTGGCTGGGCCTGGCAGGGGTAGGGGGAAGTACCAGTCAGGGGAAGGGGAGTAGGGGTGGGTTGCAAGTATGGCGGCTGCATCCTCTGGGAAAAGGGAAAGAATGGGTAAGGGGTAGCCATGTACTGCCTTCCTGACCCCTCCACCAAGCAGAGCCAGAGGCAGGGGCAGCCCCCTTGCCTTGACTGTCCCTTCCCTGACCCTTGGGCAGGGTCCCTCCCATCTGGGCAAACATCCCACCCCCACCCCAGTAACGAGTATCACTCCAACCACTGGGTCTCAGGCTGGGGGATCCCTGCAGCAACAGTCCTGCCCTGGGTAGCTCCCAGCCCTGAGCTCAGAGCAGACCCCCACAGAAGGTGCTGCTGCTGTGAAGCCAGTTGGTTTTTCGGGGTCCACGCCCAGCTGGGCTCAGGGTTTACTCCTCACTCCGGCGGTGCAGGGAGAGAACTCTGATTGGCTGTATGCAAGACTGTATTATATTACCAGCTGATCTATAGCTCCACCCCATGAAGCCAGTTCTTGTTTTCTCCCTATGGTTTTTGGTTTTGGGGGGACACCCCTGGTAGTGTCCCAGTGCAGTATTAGGAGTCATGGCCGGGAACACTGGGGGATGGACACCTGGCCTCTGCAGTGGCTCAGCCTGTGAGCTATCTCCTTGGGCCTCCCTTTGGGGTGGGGAGGGGTGTGGGATTTGGGGCCATCCCTGGTGCTCTGGGCTTACTCCTGGTTTGTGCTCAGGGATCAGTCCTGGTGGGATTAGGGGTCCCTATATTGTGCCTGGGATTGAGTCTGGGGCAAACACCTGCAAGGCCAGGCCAGTGCCTTCCCCGCTGTACTATCGCTCTGGGCTCCCCACTTCTTACTTTCTTTCCAGTGGAGTCAGTGCCTGTTGTCCGGCCCGTCCTGGCCCCACCACCTGCCCCCGGCGCACTCTGAGAGGCCCCATATAGCCCTGTCCCCAGCAGGCTGACTGATGCAGTGTCTGCGTCCCTGAGCTTCTCTCCTTTCACATAGGTGCTGATCTGATCTGCTTCCGGAGAAACAGGGTGCTGAGTCAACAGAGTTGGGGTTCTACTGCCTTCTGTCTGCATGCACACCCGCGTGAGGGAGGGAGTGGGGAAGGGAGGCTGGAGGGGAGTAGCAGATGGCTTTGCAGAGATCAGATCAGGGGGAGATCAGGGGGAGATCAGCGAGAGCTCAGCTTCCAGTTGGAGAGTTTGTGGGAGGGTGGGAGGCGGAGAATAGAGGAGGCCGGAAGCCCTCTTGAGAGCAAAGGGCCCAGGGCTCAGGGCGGCTAGGTGCAGAGGCTGGACCTGGGAGCGCAGTCACACACACACACACACACACACACACACATACACACACACACACACACACACACACACAATTTCTGAAAGAGCAAGGTGGGCCCTGGGACTCCCTCAATGGAGGGAGTCTGGATGCTGGCCCCTGCAGTTGGCCAACTGCACCTTGCCTGGGACTCCCACTCTCTGCAGGTCCCCCTCACCACAGTCCTTTGAAGGAGAGCAAGGCTTTAGGCAAAGCATAAACTGCTGAGACTGCACAGGGCTTCAGACCCCCGTTCTTTTTGGGCGAAGCCAATAGGAAGTGAGGGAAATCTGCAGGAGAAACTGGGAGCAGGAAGCAAAGCCCCCAATCTTGTCATCCCTCCCAGGAGGGAGGGGCAGGCCCAGTCCACTGCTGCAAGCCCAACCCTGAAACCTATATGCTGGGGTCTTCCTCCCTCAGCCTGGCTGGGAGCACCAGGTTCCCACCGACTTTGCTGGCCAGTGCAGGACCAGGATGGAAGGGGCAGGACAATTTGCCAATAACATAGCTCTGCCCACACAGAGCTGCCACACCCAGCGCCACACCGGTGTGGAGGGAGAAGTGTCCTGATGGCCTGTCTCCTAGATACTTCCATGCTGTCCCCCACAGAAAGTCAAACCAGAGAACTAAAGGGAAGGAGCCCAAGGAGAGTTAGTGCTACCTACCAGGTCCTCAGCCACCCCTAGCAAAAACCCTCCCTCCCCCTCCATCCTGACACAGAAGATAAAGAGAGACCTTGGGGGAAGTGCTGGGCCATGAGTCATGGCCCAGGCGGGCAGGCAGCAGAGTGAGCTCCAGGCAGGCATGCACCTGGCTCTCAGGCAGGATTCTATCCTGGGGCGAGAGCAACAGTACAGCGGGTAGTGTATTTGCCTTACCGTGGCCAACCCGGGTCTGATTCCCAGCACTCCTAGGCTTGATCCCTGAGAGCACCTTTGGGTGTGGCAAAAACAAAGAGAAACAGGTATGATTTTGTTGAGGCCACACCCAGCAATGCTCAGGGGACCCTATGCAGTGCTGGGGCCTGTCCTAGTCATACTCGTGCAAGCGAGCCCCTTCACCAGAGACACAATCTCTCTGTCCTCTGGAATCACTTGGGGGCCTTAGTGAGACTGAAGACCCCTCCCCGGTAGGGGCATCAGCCCCAGCGGCCAGGGCCCCTGAGGAGGGGCTGCCGCTCCCGGCGGAGGGCAGGCTGGCTGCAGCGCTTTGGACGATGAGAGCCCGAGTGTCCCTGTGGGACCAGGAGCCCCGTCTGGCTCCAACCTGAAGTAGGTCAGATTTCAGATAAGCGGGTGGCTTTCCTGTAAGTGACGAAACCCTCTTCTGTGCTTAATGAGAAACAGGCTCCTCAACTTACCCAGCGCAGAGCAGGGAGCGGCCTCTCACTTCTCCAGCCCCCCGCGCCCACTCCAGTCCTCCCCTCCTGCCCCTGACCTTCCCACCCTCCACCACTGTACCCTGCAGCTGATACCTCTCACCGGGTCCTGGGACCTAGGAGAAGGGTCAACATTCCCTCTCTTTCCACAGGAAGCTACTGGTCACGCCCTGGGTGCCCAGCACGCTCGGCAGCATTGCTGGAAAGCTGCACCCACGTGACCCCTGGCTGGAGCTCTGTTCTGGCCTGAACCTTGCCTGGAAAGGCAAGGGCAGGGGAAGACATGCCACCTCTCCTGTCCTTTCTGGGCAGCACAACACCCACCACTTAACTCAAATCCACAGAACCTGCTAGCCTTCCCCACCCTCCCCACCCCAACGTCCATAGCAAGAAACTGGCCTGTGCCCAGGCAGCCTGGGGCAGCTCAGTGCTCCAGCACCTGACCTGCAGGCTTGGGACTCCAAGTTGTGTCCCCAAATCCCTCTCCCCACCCCCAGTGAGGGCTGCATGTGATCCCCGGGACCAGCACATGGCAGCCAGGCAGATAGGAGAACCGCAACCCAATGTGACACCCCAGTGAGCTCCACAGCTGTGTGCAAACCCTGCCAGCAAGAATGCATGTGCCAGGGCTGGAGCAATAGCACAACGTGTAGGGCGTTTGCCTTGCACGCAGCTGACCCAGGTTCGATTCCCAGCATCCCATATGGTCCCCCGAGCACCGCCAGGAGTGATTCCTGAGTGCAAAGTCAGGAGTAACCCCTAAGCATCGCTGGGTGTGACCCAAAAAGAAAAGAAAAAAAAATGCATGTGCCCCAGTGAGCTCACAACCAAGTGTGTGTGACCCCCAGTCAGCATGACAACACGAAGGGAGGGGAAGGGCAAGGTCGGGGGCTTAGAAATCTCCCCCGAGGGGCCAGAGTGATAGTACACTGGGTACTATCAGATAGCACAGTAGGTCGGGCGCTGACCTTGCACACAGCTGACCAGGGTTCAATCCCACACACCCTATACTGGTTCCCTAAGCACTGTCAGGGTGATCCCTGAGTGCAGAGGTAGGAGTAACCCATGAGCATTGCCGGGTGGTCCCCTCCCCCACCAAAAATAACCAAAACCAACAACTACCAGAAATCTCCCCAGGAGACAGATCTAGTTGCCATGCTCCAAGTCAAGCCTTTAAAGCAGTCCCGGAATAGAAGGGCCCCGGATTGCATATGGTCCCCAAGAGTGATCCCAGTGCACAGACCAAGTACAAGAGTGATCCCAGCACACAGACCAAGTACCATCCTGTGTGACCCAAGAACCAAAAAACAAAAAAGCAGACCAACCAACCTCCTTAAGAGCCAGGGAGATAAGGGTTAAGGCATTTTCTTTGCATGCACTGACTCAGATTTAATCCCCAGCACCCATACAGTTCCTCAAGCCCCACCAGGAGTAACCCTGAGCACCACTGGATGTGGCCCGCAAGCACTGTAGCACTGTCCTCCCGTTCACTGACATGCTCAAGCGGGTCCAGTAACATCTCCATTGTGAGACTTGTTACTGTGTTTGGCATATTGAATACATCACGGGTAGTTTGCCAGGCTTTGCTGTGCAGGCGAGATACTCTCGGTAGCTTGCCAGGCTCCCCAAGAGGGGCAGAGGAATCAAACCCGGCTCGGCCGTGTGGGCCGCATGCAAGGTGCTACCACTGTGCTATCGCTCCAGCCCAACAAACACTGTCCTCCCATTGTTCATCGATTTGCTCAAGTGGGCACAGTAACGTCTCCATTGTGAGACTTGTTACTGTGTTTGGAATATCGAATACGTCACAGGGAGCTTGCTAGGCTTTGCCGTGTGGGCAAGATACTCTCGGTAGCTTCCCGGGCCCTCCGAGAGGGGCGGAGGAATTGAACCTGGCTCGGCCGGGTTGGCTGCGCGCAAGGCAAACACCCTACCACTGTGCTATTGCTCCAGCCTGTGACCCCCAAACACAAAACAAAACAAATGAATCTCCTCGACAGGTCCCAGACTTAAGACACACAAGAGGAAGAATACTCTCCATATTGGGGCCCTAGCTCATGCCCCACACAAATTTGAACGTGCCATATCTAGAGTCTTTGATGGCTGGAAACCTAGTAGAGATAATGGAGAGAGAAAAGCAAAGCTGTCGCTGAGAAGCTGTGAAGGACTGGAGGATGCTTTACGTGAAGCCAGTGAACAATGAGAACTGAACTCTAGGGGGAAACCCAACAGGAAAAGTCCCGGATGAAAGGAGACAGCGCTTAAAAGCAGGGCAGGGACTGGGCAGGTAGCACATGTCAGGCTGAATATTTTATTTCAACAGACATCCCTGGTTTAAAAAAAAAAATCAGAGGCAGAGGGAAGGGTTCAACATTTCATCGCCGGGGAGCAGAGTCTCACTTCCCCTCGGAGGGACACTGCTGTGAGGCTCATCCCCAGTCCCTGCAAGCTCCCGGACAGGAAGGAGCCGGATGTTCTAACATTTGTTAAGAAAAAATCTATCAAATATATTCGTTCTCGCAGAGGCGAGGGCTGGGTCCTCAGGGAGAGTTCCTGGGCTCGGAGCAGCTGGGGTCCCAGAGGAGCAGCTGGCCCGGGCTGCGGGGGTCCTGGGAGCGAGCGGCTTGGGCCTAGAATCCATACTTGGCTTGGGTCTGCCGGCGGCTGAGCTTGTTCTCCGACCAGGTGTTCTTCAGCTCCAGCTCCCGCTCCTTGGCCTGTGGTGGGGAGAAGGGACAGACACGGGTCAGACTGGGCTCTCGCCACTACCAGCTCCCCCATTTACAATCATTTTCCCCTCTTAAAGCTGACGGGGAAACTGCAAACTCCTTCAATGACTGCATTTTCTCTGATTCAAGTAGAAAGGGAAAACCTCAAGAAAGCAAAGGAGAAGTATCTCCTAGCAGAACTAATGGTTCCAGCAAATCCTGCCTCCACCTTGGTTCTGGGTGGGGACAGAGCACACTCTGCCTCTGCCTGCAGGCGCCCTGCCACAACACGGTCCGTGGAGCACTGGGGTAGGAGCACCCCTGAGCACCGGCAACTGTGACGCCAAAACCAGAACCTCCTGGTCCTTCCTCTGCTAGAACAAAATTGGAAACACTCAAATAGCCAGGAACAAATGAAAGCTTGATTGTGGCTTCTGGAAAGGCCTCAGTCACCTGCCCCGGTCCCATGGTGCTGGAGTGGAACTGGCTGCTGCAGTGCGTCAAGCTCAAGGGCCACGTGTGGCGTCCAGGGTGGAACCTCTGAGATGCTCAGGGATCACTCCTGGTGGTGCTCGGAGGAACCATGTGCTGTGCCAGGGATAGAACCTGGGTTGGGTGTGTGCAAGGTAAGCACCTCCTTCCCCACCGTGGTCTCTCTCACACCATGGCTAAGTATAAAGGATAAACTGAGCTGTGATGAAGTAAGCGGGAGGGCTCCAGACCTGCAAGCACCACCCCAGAAAAGAGGCACTTCCACCTCACCTCCTGCACAAGTCACCCGAGGCTTTTCCATTTCCCCAGGAATAAAAATTTTAAAAAAAGCATTGTAATTTCAAGACATTTTTGTGTTTGTTTGTTTCTTTTTTTTGGCGGGGGGTGAGGGGGTCACATCCAGTGATGCTCAGGGGTTACTCTTGGCTGCACTCCTGGATGTGCTTGGGGCACCATATGGGATGTTGGGAATTGAACCTAGGTCAGCTGCATGCAAGGCAAACACCCTACCTCTGGCCCCGGCCCCTCAAGACAGTTTTGGGTATCTGTAGCTTTGAATCAACTATGCTGATATTAGGTGTCAAAGAAATAGAAAAGAGTACTACCAATATCTCTTCATCTGACAGAAGGCAAAAAGCTAGGAAACTTTTTTTATTTAAATAGACTTTTGTTATTTTTTGGGTCACACCCAGCCATGCTGAGGAGTTACTCCTGGCTCTGCACTCAGGAATCACTCCTGATGGTGCTCAGGGAATCATATGGGATGCCCAGGATGGAACTTGGGTTGGCCAAGTGCAAAGCAAGCACTCTACCCATTGTGTCATCTCTCCGGTTCCTAAGTAGATTTTTTTTTTTAAACCCAGATAAACTTGCTACTTAAGAAACCTATATGTGGGGCTGGAAAGTTAGTACAGCATGTAAGGCACTTGCTTTGCAAACAGCTGACCTGGGTTTGATTCCCAGCATCCCATATGATCCCCCAAGCACTGCCAGGAATAATTCCTGAGTGCAGAGACAGGAATAACCCTTGAGCACTGCCGGGTATGGCAAAAAAAAAGAAAAGAAAAAAAGATAAATAAATAAATAACACATATGGTAAACCATTCCATTCCCTTCTCACATGAATGTTTTAGACTGCTGTTTCCAGCAGGTTATTTTGAGAGCTCCTGAGAACAAGAGAAGCAGGTAATTCTGAAGGGCACATTTCCCCCCCTAGTGGTCACGTGGAGAACTCCCCTGTCAGGTCTACATGGATCCTGCCTGTTGGGTCCCTCAGCCCCCTTACCTGATGGATCAAATACGTGATCTGGTGTTTCCTCCGCTGTTGGCCTGTTGGCTGTTCTCCTTTCCTCTGCAAGGAGAAAAAGTCACAGTCATTAATACATAGCAAGAAAAGCCCATTTCTCACAGGCCAGATGAGAAACCCATTAGGCTGTCCCAGCAGCCTGAATGCGAGGTGATCACCCGGGGCTGTTTCTGTGTCTAAGCAGTAGCTTCCCTGAGGTGTCGGGGTACATTCTAGCACCCACAGTGAATACCTGAGCCCTACTTACCTGATGGATAAAACTGTTCCTTCCTCTACATACATACCTGTGATTGAGCTTAAATGTTAAGCACAGTAGCAGATAAACGATAAAACAACAAAACAACTCTAAATAAGAGTTGTGAAAATGCAGTTTCTCCTCAAATATCTTATTGTTGGGGCTAAAGAGACAGCACAGCAGGAAGGGCACTTGCCTTGCACACAAGTGGCTCAGGTTCAATCCCTGGCACCACATATGGTCTCCTAAGCCTCACCAGGAGTGATCCTTGAGCACAGAGCCAGGAGTAAGCCCTGAGCACTGCTGGGTGAGGCCCCAAAACAAAATGAATGGAATCACATATCTTGCTGTATATTTCTGGGCCTTGGTTGACGGTGGGTAACTAAAACACAGACAGCAAAACCTTGGGTGAAAAGGCCAAAACAGGGTCAGAGAAGGAGCACAAGTGTCAAAAGGATTAAGGCATGTGCCTTGCATGTGGCTGGCACCAGATCCAGATCCCCATGGTCTGTAAGAAACATCATCACTGACCACTAAGCTACTCCAGGAGCCCTGAGCTATACAAGGTGCACCCTAACCACCACCACCCCCAAAAAGGGAGGGAGGGGGCAAAGGAATTGTGCAGGAGCTTAGAGCACCTTGCAGGCACATGGTCCTAAGTTTAACTCTCTAGTGGTCTGTCCCACAGGCAACTCCCAGCTACACACACTGCCAGGAACCCATCAGTGCCACGAAACAGAGGTGCAACACCAGCAAACCCGGCAGCTAAAGAGGATTGCAGGCACCATGGCCAGGAAGTGTGACCTTGGTGAGGATGGCCATGGCTTGTGTGTCTCGACTGAGAGAGCCAGTTCTGGTGAGCAGGAATGACTGAAGGAGCGCAGAGCTCGATGAGCTAGTGTGCTGTGAACCCCACGACTGGCACAGGCGGGCATCACAGCCACCGCATATGTGCCGCCCATGGTCGTCACAATAAGGAACACATGAGGAGTGATAGCACAGTAGGTAGGGCATTTGCCTTGCATGCAGCCAACATGGCCGACCCGAGATCGATTCCTCCGCCCCTCTCGGAGAGCCCGGCAAGCTACTGAGAGCATCTCACCCGCACGGCAAAGCCTGGCAAACTACCCGTGTTGTATTCGATATGCCAAACACAGTAACAACAAAGTCTCACAATGGAGATGCTACTGGGCCCGCTCGAGAAAATTGATGAACAACAGGAGGACAGTGACAGTGACAGAGGACAAAATAAGGAACACATGAGGTGGGGTGAGAATATAAATATAAATCTCAGGCTGGTGAGACAGTCTAGCAGGTAGGATGCAGATTTGCAAGCTGCAGACCCAGGTTTAATTCCTGGGACCACAAAGGGCTCCCGGAGCCCTACCAGGAGTGATCCTTGACACAGAGCCAGGAATAAGCCCTGAGCACTGCCGGGTGTGGCCAAAAAAAATACCCAAACAAAATCCCAGACGAAGGCGTATGTCTGTGTGCTTCAAAAGACATTTTTTGGGACCCTCTGGCGGGACAGCTCAAAGGACTAAGCACATGACAGAGTCTGGGTTTGAGCCCCAGAACCACCTGGTCTCCTGAGCACCACCAGAAGCGACCACCCCCACCCCCACCCCAAGCAGACCTGAGGGCAGCCCCTGAGCACCAGCAATGTGGCCCCCAAACAAACGTTTTTATTAAACCTATGATGCAAAAACAAATACAAAAACAAAACCAAGCTCAGAATACTTGCCGAAAATAGCCAGCAAATATTCCCGCTAGAGTGGAAAGAGTCTGAGGTGAGGCTGTCTTGTTTCTTGGGTATTCCTGCCCCGCAGCAAGCCCTGCTCTGCCCTTGCTGACATCTGAGAGCAGCCGAGTGCCCACAGCTTCCAATAGCCTAAGTGCCAGGGCCCACACACCTCCTCTCCCTCCAGGCTTTCTCTCAGTCCCTCTCCTGCCCATCTGCCCCTACCGTTCTCTTCATTCCCATCTGCTGTCCCCAGTCAACCCAGATAGCTGGCCTGAGTCCTCCTGCTGTGGATCACAACCCCGGGGGATGACACCCACCTCCCTCATTTTAAGTGAACGTTTGCCCTCCAGGGGCCAGGGTGGGACTCAAGTGGCAGAGCACATGAGTAGCATGTCTGAGGCCCCCAGTACTGCATGCCCCCAACACCCAACAAAAGCACTGCAGGTTGTGTCCCTGTGGCTCCTGAACACTGCAAGGCCCACCCAATGGCATGAGGACCAACATGTCACCCTGCAATTATAAAAAAATAAAACAAAAAGAAAAACCTCGCTCCAGCTCTGAAATTCTCTAGCCCCCACCCACAAGGCACTGAGCCCCTAACCAAACTCTGATGCAATCGACTTACTGTCAGAGTCTATATTGGTCTGCGCTTTGCTTCTGTGGTTTTTCTGTCCTCTGCCAGAGTTGTCTCAGACTGGAAGCTCCTTAATTGGCCCCGCCCAACTCCCCAAACTCCTCTCCGGAGTCTCCTCAGCACTTATGTAATCAATTTGCAGTGTAATCATTTACACTCAAGTGTCCTCAAAGCTCTATTTCCCAACTACGCTATAAACTCTTCAAAGATGGGAACTGGAGCTTTCTCTTCTTTAAAAGAATCCAGCTCAGGGCTGCAGCAGGGACAGCGTTTGCCTTCCACGTGGCTGAGCCGGGTTCGATTCCCAACAGAAGTGATCCCTGAGTACAGAGTCAGGAATTAGCACTGCCGGGTCTACCTCCCTCAACACCCCCGCAACATAATCTAGCTCAGTACAAAGAGATGGTGGTAAGAAGCCGAGAGCCAGCAAAGAGCAGACTGGAACTCCTTAGCGTAACGCACAGTGCACTGAAAGTGCTGGGTGAAGAAGACGGACGGCCCAGCAGTGAGCAGGGAACAATAGCAGCTATTACTGGCCATGCTACCTTTGCCCTCCAGCTCGCAGATGCTCTCCTGAGTAGTCTTTCCAGGAAACAGGCGTGGAGCTCCACCACGCTAACCGCAATTCTGCGCTCAGTCCTGTGCAACCACCCACACTCACTCAGTTAAAACCAACGGCCACACTCAGATGGCCCTCTGTGGCCAGAGAACAAAGCAAAAGACAATGGGAGAAGAGAAGGAATTAAAGGCCTGACCCTGGCCTGTCCAGTACTGGGCTCCGGTCCGGGGCTTCCCCACCTTCTGCACCCCTGCAGCGGGCTCCTCAAAGAGGACACGTGTGGAACTCAGCTCCCAGGTACACAAACGCTCATCACACTGACTGAAGCGGAGTGGCAGGAGTGCGAGTGAGCAACAGGAGGGGCAAAGCATTTGCAAAGACTGCGGCTGATGCAAGAACACACCAGGGAGGAAGGAAAAGAGGAACGGCCTGTGAAGAACCCAGAGAGGCCCGCAGGGCTGGGGTTCAGGCGAGCCCACCCAGATGTTCTAAGTGGATCCCAGCTCCACAGGATGCAAGAGGAAACGGAGGGGGAACTGGCTGGCCAGGCAAGCTGCAGCTCCTCAGCCATCTACCCATCTGCCCATGGCAGCGGGCCCAGAAACCTCCAGCCCTGTCCACCGAGCAGCCAGGCCCCACCAGACTGGAAGAGGACAGATCTGCCCAGAGCCACCCAGGACGGCCAAGCTCTCTCCGCTTACTTTGCTGAACGACTTCATGGTTTTCTCTTCTGTCAATGACTTGGTCATCCACTGCTGGGCCCCACTGAGCTGATCATCACCTTTGATCTCCACAAAGTTGATCTCTTCCCGCCCTCGATTCCTCTTGCCCTGCAGCCGCTTAAACTGCAAAGGAAAATTGGGGTGGGGGGGAGATTGGGGGGTTGGGAGAGTTTAGTTTAGGGACAGCCTGGTGACTCCCAAGCCCACAGCAGCCACTTCCGTTCCCTACCCACCCTTGCTACCAGACAAAAGACTGATTCTCAGTTCTCCTGGACAGGCGAAAGGGGTGCCAAGAGGTGGGCCCAAACATGAGCGAGCACAGAGAACCACTGTGCAAATCTGTGTTCAGGTTACAAGTAAATTCTAGATATCCATAAAGCAAGCAAAAAAATGTGTTTTGGGCTGGAGAGATAGCACAGTGGGTAGGGCGTTTGCCTTGCATGTGGCTGACCCGGGTTCGATTCCCAGCATCCCATATGGTCCCCTGAGCACCACCAGGAGTAACTCCTGAGTGCAGAGCCAGGAGTAACCCCTGTGCATCGCCGGGTGCGACCCAAAAAGCAAAAAAAAAAAAAAAAAGTGTTTTGTATTTTTTTTTTTTGGTTCTTGTGGCACAGCCGGAGGTGCTCAGGTCTTACTCCTGGCTTCTGCATTCAGGGAACACTACTGCCAGGGCTTTGGGGTCCCTCTGAAGTGCTAGGGATTGAACCTGGATCACTCATATGCAAGGCAAGTGCCTTATCCACTGTACTATTCCTCTGGTCTCCGCAATTTTCAAAGAATTCAGGGCAACAACAACAAAAACCTGCCAGTTTGATCCTTGGCATTGCATTTGGTCTCCTGTGCACTCAAGGAGTGATTCCTGAGCAGTCAGCGTGGTACCAAAAAAAAACCAAAACACCAAAACCAAACCAAGCCTGGGGATGGAGAATACAGTGGGGTAAGGAGCTTGCCTTGCTCACGGTCACCCAGTTCAGTCCCCAACACCACAAAGGATTCTCCGAGCTCTACCCAAGTGATCCCTGAGTGCAGAGCCTAGAAAGTCTTAGGTAGAGTGAGGTGGGATCCAAAAAGCAGACGGGGGGCCAGAGAGTGAGCTCCAGGGCTGAGCACTTGCCTATCACATTAGGTCCTGCACTGACGGTCCAGCGCTTCCCAGAGCACTGAGGCAGGGAGCAGCCACGGAGCACCACTGGCTGCCCCCACCCCAACAGAATCATCAAAAATAATACAGTGCTCTCAAATAAGAGTCCACACTCCAAAGGTCGTCCCCCTCTGCCCCCCACCCTCTCACACTGCGCTCCCTTCCGAGGGGTCACAACTTTCTACCTGCATGTGGGGGGAGTCATGCCTTCCTCTCCTGATGCTGAGGAAACAGCGAAGTAACTGTCCCTTCCCACCCCAAAGCCATTCTCCCCGTCTCGTTCTATGTCGAGGCCAGCTGCATTTTGGTGAGGCCCATCTATCACCCAACTCAAAGACCGATTTCATGGGCTCCCTTGGCAGGCAGATACAGCCACGGGACCTGAGTCCACCAGTGAAACAAGTGGAGTGTTCCGGAAGTCGCCAAGGAGGAGAGAAAAAGGTCCCCCTCTCCCTTTCTCCACCCTGCTGCAGATGGGGTGGCTGGAGTGTGATCGGACAGCAGTCACCGTGCTGCTCTGACTGACAAGAATAAAGGCCAGGGGAGGTCTAAGCGTGCAGGGCTAAGGTGCTTGCCTTGTGTACGACTTACCTTGGTTGGGTCCCCATCACCACATAGGGTATACAGGGTACCTCAAGGAGTGATCCCCTGGGGCTGGAGCAATAGCACAGCGGGTAGGGTGTTTGCCTTGCATGCAGCCAACCTGGGTTCGATTCCCAGCATCCCATATGGTCCCCTGAGCACGCCAAGGGTGATTCCTGAGTGCAGAACCAGGAGTAACCCCTGTGCATCGCCAGGTGTGACCCAAAAAGAAAAAAAAAAAGGAGTGATTCCTGAGCAGAGTCGGGGCTAAGACCTGAGCATCACTGGATGCTGTGGCCCAAACACCAAAAACAAAAAACAAAAACAAAAACCCTTAAGAAACAATCAGCTGCCTGCTGCGGACCCCAATTGGTCCCGCACATACCAAGGGTCACTCCAGAGCACATAAGCACAAAAGCCCCTAAGCTGGGTCTGGCTCCAAACTCTCCCAGGAGAACCAAAAACAACCAGAATACACGGGTTGGAGCAGGTCACTTACTGCTTCGTCATCGATGAAGGAGGCATCTGGGGCGATTTCCTGGGGGGGCACCAGGGCCGGGTCCTGGGCAGGGTAGTAGCCACCACTGTAATAATCCTGTAGGCAAGGAGGGAAAAACACACCAACTGAGGAACCAGTGGAGGGGAGAATGGGGCCTGCCCCAGGGAGGAAAAGGCTGGCACCAGAGGCAGAGGTCCCACTGTACCCACACCCCCAGCATCAGTGGCCCCTCCTTACCCCCCTTCCAGCTCAGGCTCCCTGGCCTCTCTGAACTGCACCCCAGGACAGGAACTTGGCTGCCAGCATCAGTTTGCACCTGACCCTTCGGCTGCTGCCCCCACCTCCACTGTGCCCTCAGTCCTGCTCCTCCAGCTCCTAACACCCCAAGGAAGTACACGGTGCCCATTCCCCCTGCTATTTGGGGAGAAGGCCGGTTATTAGCTGGGGGGCCGTGGGTCTCTAATGGAAACTATGATGAGGCCACTCTAGAATTTACAGGCAGGAAAAAAAAAACAAGTTCGTGCCAACAGGTGTTCTGGGCAGGAGTCTAACGACGCCCACTCAGAAACGAGCTGTCCGGATGTGGCTGCAGAAAGAAAAATAAGATTTTTTGGTTTTGTTTTTGGACCACACCTGGTGATGCTTAGGGATATTACTTCTGGCTCTGCACTCAGGAATTACTCCTGGAGTGCCAGAGCAACCATTTAGGATGCGAGGGATTGAACCCAGGTCAGCCGCATACAAGGCAAGCACCTTACCCATTGTACTATCACTCTGGTCCCCAAAATAAGCCTAATGCTAAATAACAATCACATGCAACTCTGGAGTGGTTATAATATAAATTTCCTATTAAAAAATTTAAAAGGGTGGGGCTGGAGTGATAGTACAGCGGGTAGGGTGTTTGCCTTGCACGTGGACGTCCCAGGTTCTATTCCCAGCATCCCATATAGTCTTCCAAGCACCACCAGGAGTAATTCCTGAGTGCAGAGCCAGGAGTAACTCCTGAGCATCGCCAGACGTGACCCAAAAAGAAAAAAAAAATGCTAAAGGGGGTGGGGCGTAGAGATACTACATCAGGTACAGCATTTGCCTTGCACAGTCACCCCATACTGTCCCCGAGTACCACAAGGATAAGGCCTGAGCATTGCCAGGTGTGGCCCAAAACAAAAACAAAAATTTTCAAGAGGCCAGAAAGGTAGTATAGCAGGGAAGGTACCTGCCTTTCAAGAGGCAGGGACCAAAGTTCAATCCCTGACAATGTCTAGGGTTCCCCAAGCCTCACTAGAAGTGAACGCAGGGTGAGACATAAACCCCGAGCATCGGGCCGGAGCAATAGCACAGCAGGTAGAGCGTTTGCCTTGCACGCAGCTGACCTGGGTTCGATCCTCGGCATCCCATATGGTCTCCCAAGCACCGCCAGGAGTGATTCCTGAGTGCAGAGCCAGGAGTAACCCCTGAGTATTGCTGAGTGTGACCCAAAAAAAGAAAAAGAAAAAAAAACCCAAGCATCACTGGGTGTGGTCCCAAAATAAAACAAAGCAAAAAAAAGTTTATAATATGGACTGTTACTGTGTTTGGCATGTAGAATACTCTCGGTAGCTTGCCGGGCTCTCCGAGAGGGGCGGAGGAATCGAACTCGGGTCGGCCATGTTGGCCGCTTGTAAGGCGAACGCCCTACCGCTGTGCTATCGCTCCAGCCCAGAGAGATGCTCACCAGCTGAGCACAGGCTTTGCTCTCAGGAGGCCCAAGTTCATGTCTGGCACCACATGGTCCCCCACCCATACCTGCAGCACTGCCAGGATTGTCCTGAGCATTGCCAAGTGTGACCCCCAAACCAAAGAAGGACAAAAAATTTACCATACGGAGCCAAGAATGTAACCCAGTGGTAGACTGCGTGGCTCACACATGAGGCCCTGGCATCCATCCCCTGCACTACATTAGAAGAATAAAAAATCTACACTACAGGGACCTGTAGGACCTATATGTAGAGCAGCAGGGCGCTTACCTTGCATGTGACCCACCCAGGTTCAATCCCAGGGACCCCATATGATCCCCTGAGTCTGCTAGGAGAGATTCCTAAACTCAGGAGCCAGGAGTAAGCCCTGAGAAGAGCCAGGTGTGGCCCAAAAGCAAAAAGGAAAAAAATCTACAATGCACTACAGCTAAGTTGCAGAAGTTAAAGAAGAGAGTATTTTATTCAGGACTGTTGAATCTATGGGTTTAAAACTGCACGCAAGAATTCCAACTTGCTATTCAGTTGCTAGATGTAAAGCAACTGTTTCCTAAGACTTACATAGGGTTTTTGTTTTTTGGGTTTTTGTTTTTTTTTGCTTTTTGGATCACACCCAGCAATGCACAGGGGTTACTCCTGACTCATGCACTCAGGAATCACTTCTGGCGGTACTCGGGGGACCATATTGGATGCTGGGAATCAAACCCAGGTTGGCCACGTGCAAGTCAAACGCCCTATCCTGTGCTATCGCTCCAGCCCTGCATAGGGTTTTTTTGAAGAGGGAAGAACAGGACCCAAATTCTTTTAGGCTGGAGGCACTTGCCTTGCATGTGACCAACTCAAGTTTGAAACCTCAGCACTATACGTAGGGCCCCCAGAACCCTGAGCACCTGGCAGAGTGTGGCCTAAAAACAAAACAAAAACTCCTCTCATCTTCCTCTTTCCTTCTAACAATGTTGAGTGGAAGATATATGATTCCTGATCTGTCTGTAGGATACAACTAGGTGCAGCAGCAAGTATTTAGGATGAATGACTGTCTTCAAGGTCTGGTCTGAACTGGGTGCCCCTGGAGCCCAACCACCCAAGTCCCTGCCTGTACCCTGCAGAAAGCTAACCCACCACTCACTACTCACAGCATCAGAGCGGACGGAGGGGACTTACATGCGCCAACCATCCCAGATGAGTCGGGCCACACCCTGCAGCTGTCCCTGAGTCCTGACGCCTGCCCTGTGGCGGAAGCTCTGAGTGCTGGGAAGGCTCTTTGAACCCACTCATGGTCAGGCGTCCACCCCAAAACAAAGCTGATCGGTGCTCCCAAAAAGCCCAAGGAGAAGCCCCCACAATCATTTCCTGAACGTGTGCTCTGTTCCAAGCACCGCCTAGGCTAATGGGAAATTTCCTGCACCCCAAGGAAGCTGCTGTTCTCCCTTTTATAGTTGGCCCTGGGAACTCAAGACAGCCAGTTCAGTAATTCGGCCAGATTCTCACAGCCTGAGACTCAACCCCCAAACCATGCTAACCCCATTTGCAACCACTGTGCGAACCAGGTCCCCCACTTTCCTCATCTAAGGGACCCGTGCAGTCTCCAGACCCCTCCTCCTCTCCTGCCCCCACCCCTGCCCACAGTCCCTTCGCAGTACTCTCCACTCGGGGAAACTCCTCAGGATTCACTCCCACAGGAGTCTACGCCCCCCTCGCTCACATCCATGACTGGGGGCGACCCTGGGTCTCCACTACAATTGGAGACTGCACTTTTCCCCACTGTGACCCTCCCTCTTCCCACCAGCTCCTACGGTGAGACTATTTCAGAATAAAGGCAGCGGGCACATGGGTTCTACCCATTAGAGTTCAAGATTTCGGCGACTTGATTGACCCAATTGACCAAACAGGAGCAGAATAAAGGTGGGAAGTATGTCTTGAGGTTAGAAAGCTACAGGAAGATGAAGATACTCAAAGACTCATTCCTTTGGCCAAAGTGATGCCCCAGAGGACATCTCCGCTGGCTAAGGATGCTCCTGGGTTGTCAGGTTGCCCGCGGGCCTGCTACGCACCTGATAGTAAGCACCAGCGGCATTGGCGTCGCCATATGTGGAAAACTGATTATAGCTGTAGTCTTCCCCAGGCTTGGGCACCCAAGGGGCCCCACTTGAGCCTGCTGCCATCTTGAATTCAAGGGGGGCATTGGCGGCATCGTCCTGGAAGGCTGGTTCCGGCTCCGTGCCTGGAGGCAGCTCTTCGGGGGCAGTGGGCATGGGGTAAGGGTATGGCTCGACTCCAGGAGGCTCAGCCTTGTCAGGGAGGGAGAAAAAGTTCTCGGGGGCCACTTCCTCATCGCTGTCGTCCTCCTCCTGTGTGATCTGCCTCGTCACCTGCAGGGCAGCGCTCTTGGCAGCAGCCTTGATGGCCGAGGGCGATGGGGTGGTGGTGGTGGTCCCCACCACGGGGGCCAGCGAGGCGGGCTTGGTCTTTGAGGCCTGTCTGGGGGGCTTCAGGTCCGAGGAGCCGTCCGGGGGTTTCCGGGAGAAGGCATGGGGCAGGAGCAACCTGTTAGTCTCTTTCACAGTCAGGTTTTTAGGTTGGGGAAGCAACGCAGACAGACCGGTCCCCTCGCTGGATCCCTGAGGAGCCCAGGCGGATGTGAAGGAGGAGGGAAGAAAGACAACAGGTGAGATACCATGACACGTACCATGGACGCCAAGCTCTGTGGTGGCACCTAATTTCTGACCTGCACCCGCTCAGGCCACCCAACCAGGCTCTTCTGCTCGATGCTCTCTCCAAACTAAGTGCAGTGCTGCCTCTGCCCGGCCCACTGCCCTGTCACAGATCCTCACCGGACTCGGGTTTCTTGCAAATACAGGCTCCTGATCACGCATATTCTTTCTCCCCAAAAAATCAGGGCTCGGTCCAGCTCATCACTCCACCTCTCTCCACGTCCCAAAGGTACTGCTCTTACAAGGAACTCTGGGCTTCTGTGGGATGGCGTCTCAGTCCAGAATAAGGCGACGTGAAGAGTGACACTCTCACGTTGTCCCACATTCCCGCCCTGCCTCAGGAAAGCCCCACAATTGGGGCATGCTGGGCAGGTTTATACAAAATTAACTTCAACATTTCACATTTTACTTTTCAAATCAGCAGAGCCCATTCAAATCCTACAGTCTGGAAGTTTCTCAAATTCACCCCAGGATGTCACTCAGGGGCAGAGCGTGTGCTCTGTGTCCTAGGATTCCTCCCCAATAACTCAAAACTGAAAAGAACCTGGGGCCAGAGCTAGTACAGTGGGTAGGGCACAGCTGACCTGGGTTCAATTCCCAGCACCTGAGATGGTCCCCTGAGCCTGCCAGGAGTGATCCCTGAGCATAGAAAATAATAACAAAACAACAAAAACTGAAAATCCTTAAGGGCCAGAAGGAGTTCAGTGGGTTGGCACACAGGCATTACATGCATGAGTTCCAGCTCAATTCCCAGCACTGCATGGTCCTCTCCTGGCATTTTCCAGAAGCCATTCCCAGGTACAGGGCTCGGGAAAAAGACCCTGAGCATTATCAGGTGTGATCCCAAAACCAAAAAACAAAACAAATAACAAATGGCTCTCCAACTCTGCTTTAAGAACGTTTAAGGGTCACTTGTCACTTGACCTATCTGGAGGGCTGTGGGAGGTGCCACTTTGAAAAAAAGAGAATGGAAGGGGTTGGGGTGATAATACACAGGGAGGTATTTGTCTTGCACAGTCAACCTGGGTTCAATCCCCGGCATCCCAGAGGGTTCCCCTAGCCCGCCAGGAGTGATCCCTGAGTGATTCCTAGCAAATCCAGGTGTGCCTGAGGGTGGGGTGGGGAAGAAATGGAGCAAGACCCCCATGTGCCTGCAGTACAGGTGCAGTACAGGTACATGCAGACAAGGGATGCCCAATGAATAGAATAAGACTTCTGAGTCCTGGGGCCGAAGCAATAATACAGCAGGTAGGGTGTTTGCCTTGCATGTGGCAAAAAAACGAATAAACAAAAGAAGACTTCTGAGTCTGCCAAGGATTAGTACAACAGGTGGGACACTTGCCCTGCACACAGCAAACCCAAGTCTGATCCCCGGCAATGCCATGGGTCATCTGAGTCCCACCAGACCTGAGCACAGAGTCAGGAGTTAAGTCCTGAACACACCACCAGATGTGGCTCAAAACAAAACAAAAAAATCTTCTGAGTCCAGCGGGTCCGGCAGAATTCTGACCCGGAAAATGGGCTCCTGGGCTGGCTGTCCACATCCACAGGATTGGTCTCTGCAGAGCCAGAGGCTCAGACTCTCCAGAACCAGATGCTGCAGGGCTGGGTGGAGCATGTCCTCAGCTGACACAGCGTGTACTGACACTGGAGGTCACTGCCACATCCCTTTGCAAAGCTCCATCCAGCTCTATCCAGACCAGTCCTAAGAGCCCAGCGCCCAGCCCCATTCCTCTCTGATCATGGGCTCTTAACCCTCCGGGCCTCTGAGCAGTGCCCACCCTTCTCAGGTGTCAGGTACCTTCTCTGGGAAGCCATTCTGCCAAAAGAACCACTGGCCACATTCGGTCTCCCTGTATCAGCTCCTCCCACTGTCCCACTAATCACCATTCCAACAGGACACGGTTCACTCTGGCCACTGCCTAGCTTTCCCAGTTAGGGGAAAGTTAAAGCCTCCCGGTAGTGGGAGAGACATGCTCAGAGCCAGAGGAAGGGGCAGTTTCAGCCTGAATCCCAGGACTCTGGGTCGGTGCTGCTCTTCCAGAGACGCTGAGTGGGAAATCAGGGAGCATGGCTCCCAGACACACAGCAGACCAGGACACACTGCCTAGGAGCCAGAATGAAGGCACTGGGCAGGGGTGGAGGCAGCAGACGGCAGGGCAGACCGCCCAAGGCTGGCCCTGCTCTCCTCTTCAACCCAGATAACACTCTCGGTTCATTCATGTGTAACAGAGGTAAAAGGGGCCAGAGAGCTGGGACAGAGGCAAGGCACCTACACAGAATATGGTAGGATATGGCACCGCCAGGGGTCACTCCTGAGCAGAGCCAGGAATAGGCCCCAACCCCAGCACTACCAGGTGTGGGACACCCCCCAATTAAAAAAAAGATAATAATGTCACTATGACTTAGGCATTGAATAAAGGATTAAATCAATCCAACGCTCTGAACGGTATCACAGAAAGTGCTAGTGAAATGCTTATTTTGCAGTTTTCAAAATGTGATGGGGAGGGGCTGGAGCATTTACCTTGCATATAGCCGATCCAGGCTGGATCCCCAGCATCCCATATGGTCTCCCAAGCACTGCCAGGAATGATCCATGAGTGCAGAGCCAGGAATAACCACTGGGTGTGGCCAAAACACAAAACAAAGAACAAAAATGCTACAGGGAATGTAAAACTTTTAGGGCAAGAAAGGGACAGAACAGTGGGTAACGCACTGATCTTGCATGCAACTAACTCAAATTTGATCCCTGAGACCCTTTATGGTCCCCCAGCACTGCCAGGAATAAAACCTAAGTGAAGCGCCAGGAGTAAGTCCTGAGCACTGCTGGGTGTGACCCCAAAACAAAACAAAAAGACTAAAAACTTTCCAAGACACATGTTCCCTAACATTTTGATCAATCATTTATTCCTTCCTAAATGGTCCTTTGACCTGAAATGCAATGAACCAAATTGAGTTCCGATTCATCTCACTGCCTGGCCTCCCCGGGAGGGAGCTGGGGAACAGTGAGGGAGGGCAGAGAAGCACCAGGCCCGACACTACCCAGGAAGGCAAACCCACACACCCACAGAGTCAGCGCTCAAACAAACACCTTCGTGGCTCTGAGCCTGCTGAGAAACCACTGCCCATCCAACGCTCTCCCTCTCAGGGAGCACCTGGGAGGAGCAGAAAGGGTTTCTAGATAGTGCCAGACTTACCTGAAGGACAGTTTTCTTCTTTGTGGGCTCATCTTCCTCAGAATCTGACTAAGAGAAAAAGAAAAGGACGTAAGGTTTTAGTTGGAGGACAAGGGCACAAACACTCCAATGAACATACACTCATACACAAAAAAGGGGTGGACAGCGGTGGCCACTGTCTGAGCTCCACCTCCACACAAGCACCCATCATGGCCCCCACAAACAGCTGCCGTGAGCTCCTCTGGTCACTTATCACCCTGCCCCCAAAATCCACTATACAGTCCTCCTTGCACTCACACCTAGTACTTAAATGTAGACTATTTCCTCTCGCTTTGTCTTCAGTGAAAAGAAAAAAGCACTCCCCATTCTTTTTCCTATAAATCTGTCCACTCAAAGATGAATGGGTTTTGGCCCACAATCTTCCCCAATCTCAGCTTCACTTCTCAAACCACTTATAAAGAGGACATAACCACAGGGCTAGGGGAGGTCCAGTGGGATTAAGTGGTGTGTTAACTACTCTTCTATGAGGCATTAAAGGTCAAAGTCATTGGAGAAATCCATTCCCTCTCCAAGTATGATCTATTGTCTGCCAGACAGAGCTGCCCGTGTCCAGAAGAAAGAAGCAAACGATGATGGTGAGAACTTGGGGAACACAGGATGTCAGCTGTGTCACCCCTCTGAGTCATCATGACTGTCTGCAACACCAGCTCTCACACTGAGCGTCACTCAATCCCAATGCAACACCATCTTCTATTATCAGGATGCTGCAAAGCACGTACGAATAGTAAGAATTAATGATTTACTTTGAAAAGTCAAGCCCAAAATCCAGAAGTTAAAGTATTTCCATCTTGTCTAGGGGACATAGGTTTGAGCATCTAGAAAAAAAAGACAATGCAAGGGACTGGAGACATAGCACAGGGGATAAGGCACTTGCCTCACATACAGACAAGCCAGTTTGATCCCTGGCACCAATTACGGTTCCCCAAGTACCACCAGGAGTCAGCCCTGAGCATCACCAGGCGTGGCACCCCAAACAAACAAAAATATGACTAGTGGGGCTGGAGCGATAGCACAGCAGGTAGGGTACTTGCTTTGCGTATAGCCAATCAGGGTTCAATCCCCGGCACCTTATATGGTCCCCAGAGCCCACAATACGTGATCCCTGAGTGCAAAGCAAGGAATAAGCCTGAGTATCACCTCACCAAGTGTGGTTCCAAAAACAAAAACACAAGGATCTGTCTTGGTACTTAATATGGGGCCAAGGGAAAGACAGTATAGAAAAGGATAATCTACTACCAATATGTAGGGAAAAGGATTCAATTTTTCCTTTAATTCATAAACTACAAGGCAGGTATAATTTGTGTTTGGTTTAGGGGGCTCCCCAGCAAGATCTGGGGGCTATGCCTGCAATTCCTCCCCACCTGAAGGTGGAAATGATAGCAATCCATGTCATTCTGATACTCTGAAGGCTACATGAGCTACTATCTGCCCAAACACAGATATGATAAACTAAAACTTTTTGTTTTGAGGCCACACAAGGCAGTGCTCAGGGGCTTACTCCTGATTCTGTGCTCTGGGATCACTACTAGGAGGGGACCATACGGGATGACAGGGTTCGAACCCTAGTTGGCCACGTAAAAGGCAAGCACCCTACCTGCAGTACTATCACTCCTGCCCCTAGATAGATACACTAAAGTTCTATAGAAACATTAAGAATTAATCTCCTCATCCCAGAGAGAGAGAGAGAGAGAGAGCACAGGGATTAAAAGGTGCTGGCTCTGCATGCAGCTAACCCCTCTCACTAGCATATGGTTCCCCCAGGCACTACCAAAGATCACTCCTGAACACAGAGCCAGGAATAGCCCCTGAGCATCACAGTGTATGGTCCAATGTATCACCCCTGCCAGATTGTCCAATTCAACAGAAGAAAAAAAGTTAAGTTCCAAGCATCAAAATATTTTTGACCTTTTTCAGGGATCCAAATGCTCACAGCCACAGGGCTCCCTTATCTTTAACTCCCCCCTCCCCCCTCAACTTCCCCCTTTCAGGAGAGCAGAGAACTGGCTCACTGGGGCAGGGCTGTATCACACCCCCAGGTACATTTAAACTTCCCCCAGGGAAACAATCTGAAAAGAAGCACATTCTATCCCTGTTAAGGATGATTACATTTATAAAATCACACAAACATATCCTAATTTTTTTTTAGATCCCTGGCAAACAAAAAGTGGCTACTGTCAAAGTGAAAGTAGCCTGTCCCCCCAGCTAATGGAGCTGGAGGCCAGATCAGCTGTGGTTGGAGAATTCAATTTCTCTTTAAAATATCACAGAGCGTTTCCATTAAACTGACAACCCAAGTTTAACGTTTAAAAACATATTAGCAAAAAAAAAAAAAACCCCACCTTATTACTTCTGGGTTTGGAGTTCTACTCAGACTCCTCACTCATCATTCCCTCAATATCTTATACAAATTTTCTGAACCTCACTATAAATCATCGCAGGATAGACTCTAAATAGGACAGACACACTGAAACAGAATCTAAAATAAGATGCTCAAAAACTGCTGATAAAGAGCAAAAGGGTACAGTGGGTAAGGCACTTGCCTTGCACACAGCTGACCCAGATTCGATCCCGGGCAACCCATGTAGTCTCCGGAGCCCACCAGGAGATTCCTGAGAGCAGAGCCAGCCTGAGCACCACAGGGTATGGCCCAAAATCAAACCAAAAACATATGCAGATGGGGCCAGAGAGATAGTACAGCAGATAAGGTGCTTGCCTTGCACACAGCTAATCTGGGGTCAATCTCCAGCATCTCACACAGTCCCTCAAGTACAATCAGGAGTGATTCCTGAGTTCAGAGTCATCATTGGGGGAAGTACCCTCACCACCACACCAAGAAGTATTTTGTGCAGAGGTCAGGGGAGATTGCACAAAGACCTGGCACACATGCTTCGCCAGTGAGAACTATGGGTTTGATCCTCAACCTTATATGGCAACCAGTACTGGGCACGTGTGACACCACCCCACAACCTCCCCCCCCCAAAAAAAGTATTGAGTCCCTTAACCTTTAGGTCATGACTATTCCCCTCTGAGGAAAGACAAATAAATCTTGACCTGAAAGCTGGAAATCAGGGCTACGAGAAATTGTCACTATTTGAGGGGAAGACAAGGCAGGGGACTGGGAGAAGGTGGGGGGACAGAACGGGGACCTCCCTTCGGCCCTGAGAGCCAGCCCTGCTAGAAGAGGCTGGAAATAGGAACTCACAACAGGAAGGGTCCAGGATGCCACTCAAAGCACTTCTGGACATGTGGGAGGGGAGCCCAACTGGAAACTTAATGGGGCACAGAGGCTCGCCAAGCAATTACTCAAACACGTCATGAACAAAAAGAAGTTTTGATTGGTTCAAGTAACAAAAGCAGGGTTCAAGAAGCTCCCTGGAAAGGCTCTAGGAACTGGGGCTCGAGCATTGTCTGCTGGGGCAACAGAGCTGAAGGGAATATCCACCTGTGATGAGCAGTGCAAGGTGTAACCAAAATTCCCTTGCCAGGGGGGAAAAAAAAATTATCAGATGCTTAATGCTGTACCCTAAACCCTCCAGTCATTCTGGAGGGGAGTCAGAGGGAAAGAGTCACTGTCTGGGAAGATTCCTTTCAGCTCCCATAAGGCACTGCCAGAAGCAATGGGCTTCTCAGGCACAGTACTGAACTCAGACAGCATGAGCACAGAAGCCATATCAGGGTTTTTCCCCTTTAATTTGTGGTAAAACGGATAGAAAAAAACTTTTTTTTTTGGTCTTTTTGGGTCACACCCAAGCGATGCTCAGGGGTTACTCCTGGTGGTGCTTGGGGGAACCATGAGATGCCAGGGATCAAACCTCAGTTGGCCAGCCAAGTGCAAGGCACTCCCCGCTGTACTACTGCTCCAGCCCCAAAGCTGCCATTTCAAAGCATGCAATTCAGGGTCATTGGCACACTCAAAGTTGGAGAACTTGACTCACCACTATTGGAGTACTACTGCCCCAGAGCAATGTTTGAACCTATTCAACAATCACTTCCCATTCACCTTCCTTCAGGACTGGAATCTTTCTCCCTTCCCCTACCCCCACCCCCTAATTGAACCACATCAGGACAGTGCTTGGTGCTTACTTACAGATTGCTCCTGGCAGGGCAGGGAGATTTTATACAGGGCCAGGGATTGAACCCAGGTTGGCTGTGTGCAAGACTATCTCTTTCTCTCTAGGAATTCACCTACTCTGGCATGGCATGTAGTGAGGCCCAGCATTATATACCCTTTTTGATTCTGGCTTATTTCCCTTAGTTTAAATCTTCCAAGCATCATTCCTGTTGTTTCACATACCAGAATTTCCCTCCTCTGAAAGCAATGGGACAATATCCCATTGTATGTGTGCAGCCCACAAAGTTCATCTGGTCCTCTGTGCTGGACCCTGAGACGCTAACCCCTGGGCCACTCAGGAAAACCCGAGTCCCTGTTTTCCATGTCCATCTTGCAATGAAACTTCAAGAGCCTGTTCATTCTAACTAATGTGGGGCTGGACAGTACAGCAGGTAGAGACCTTACTGTGCATGGAGTCAACAGAATTTTGATACCCAGAACCCCACAGGGTCTGCCCAAAGCCCAGCCAAGAGTGATCCCCAAGCAGAGCTGGGTATAGAGGGTAAAAATTCTAACTTTTCAAAAGACTACGCAGCTTTTTTCTCAAGAGACTGAGGAGTCAACTCCCAGTGACCATGGGTCTGAGTGGGGCTGTGCCCCCGGGAGAACAAGGCTGGAGATTGCTGAGCTCAGAAGCAGGTACTCAGACCTAGAGGCACAAACTGGTTTTCTCTCAAGAATAAAGTGCTGGGGGCCAGAGAGTTGGTACAGGGGGGAGGTGCTTGCCTCACACACAGCCAACCCAGTTTCCATCCTTGGCACCATATAGGGTCCCCCAGGCACCACCAGAAATGATTCCTGAACACAGCCAAAAGCAGGAGCTAGGTTGTCAAGTGCAACCCAAACACAAACAAAAAAGGATAAAGTGTTTAGGAGCCAGATAGTATAGTACAGGGGT